ATAAATATATGATTAGTTGTATATAACGTATAAAGTTCACTTATTTTCATATTCAAGTAATTAAAATGAATTCCTGATACTAAAAACCATTTCTGTTTGTGTAGATATATACGAAGAAGAGGGTCTTGTTGTTTTGACCTACTGTACATCTGCATGCAACATTCGTGCTGCAATTTCTTTTTGCATAATGCAAGGGACTGTTCAACTTGTGCTCAGACGGCAAAGCTGGTTCAATCAGCTCCTCGGGTAAACGGAAACATTGAAATATTCTTTTTTTCTGTTGGTAAACTCACCTGGTGAAAGTTCTTCGGTGACTGCCTGTATTTGTGAAATTAGCATGAGGCAACTGCCTAGCAGCAGCCATTGTACTCTGCTCATTGTGAGGAGAGCTTCTTTCTTTTTGTTAAATTGGATCTGGAATGGTTACAAAAGGTAGAATATTCAATTAATAATGAGCTTTTGATTTGCTAAGCAAGATAAATCTGATTGAACAGGGATGGTTTAGACAAGACATTATATCCTTGTCTCTCAAAAGAGTTAGGTAATTAAAAAAAACTTTGTTAAAGAAGTCATTTATAATAGATCGCTTATTTAGAAAAGGTTTTGGATTAGTGATTCTTGAACTATCACATTCAAGCTAGTAATCAATAGAAATACCTAAATAAATATAAGAGGAGCTGAAAACGTCTGTAAGCAATGCTTCTTTTAACGTTTCTTTTAAATGATATGATAAATCCAAAGCCAAGAAATTAAATGCCTTAAAGGTAAATAAATTGTTTAGCCATATTGTTAGATTATTATTCTGTATTACCAATTTTATTGATTTAGCCCATCTTCTGTATGACTTAGTAAAAAATTTAATTATATTCTCTGATTTACAATGCTTAGATCGGAGTTAATGGTTACTGAAAATAAGATTTCTGGGAAAAAGGGTTATAAATTTAAAACTAAATGAAGATTTTAAATCAAATCGTTTACTTCTTTCATTGGCCTTTAATTTTAACAATTCTGCTCTGTGTAATTACTTGTACAGCAGGTGGCAATGTAGATACATCTGCGCAATTTGCCATTAAGATTTCCACCATCGACAGGCGGCATTTCCGACGCACATTATTCACTGGGCGCTCGCGCCGCAAAGTATGCAACGTCATGCGGTGTGGCAGTGAGATGACGATGACGGCGGAGCTTGGGAAATGGGTGGAAAGTACGGAACAAGGACTATAGAGTACAGACTACCGACTACGGACCACGGGCTACAGACTACGGATGCGGAAAGGCGCCGCTGAAGGCGAAGCCCTCCGATTGGGGGGCGTGCCCTGAGCCACACGTCAAACACATTCATCACGAGTGCCAGAGTGACAGATGGCAAATGCGCCTACGGCCTCGTTTGTCCGCCGCTTCTGGCCAGGAATCCTTGGTCCAGTTTGGCCATGACATCCGACGGGCATAGCAAGGGCAAAAAGGACAAATGGAAATTTTTCCAATTATTGCCGCCGGCAACAGCAGTAGCAGCCATGGCATCGTTAACAAAAAAAGAACATTTAACGCTTTAAAGTGCGACAATGGCCATATTTCATTCATGGCACTCGGGTACCGAGATTCTCCGAATCATCAATAACTAATTGCAAAATTTTGAGTGACGTCGTCAGTTGATCAAAAACTCATTCTGTCAGCCGCATGTGGACACGAATCCAATAAAGAACGCCAACGTTAGGGCAAAAATATATATATTCTAAGTAGTGCAATATGTAATGTGGTCACATCTGGGGCTGACATGATTTTGGCATTAAAACGAAAGTCACTTTTGGGTGGCTTCTGTGCGAGACCTTTCAGTTTTCGGCTTACTTTGAGTCTGTACAATTTTTGGTTGGCAAAATTCACTTTTATTTTAGACTGACAGCAGCTGCTGAATAATTACGTATACACAAAAGGTCGCGGACAGGCTAGGGTTAGGTGTACAGTGCGGGACATAAGTTTAGCCAGACTGCAATGCCGATCCTAAAGATTTTAAATATCTCTTAAATCGGAAATCTATGTATTTGGTTTCAACAAAGGAAGAATCCTATTAAAATCAATTGACATTAAAATAACCAACAAGTATTCTTAAGTGAAGTGTTGCCAGAAAAACTGATAAGTATTTTTGAAGAAGGATTTTTAACTCGTTTTTCCAGATGATTGATTTATTTAAGCGGACTTAGAGTTCCGAAACGGACTGTATATAGGCACCATATGCTGGCATATGACCGAAGACGCGGCTCAGTGGCTCCCATCAACACTTTCAATTTCAAAAGGAAACTTTTGGGCCACCGACCGCACACACACACACACACACATACTCGCACACACCCACGAAACACAGGGGCTTGAACAAAAGGGGGGCGAGTGGGTGGTGTTTTTCGGGGGGAGTGGCTGGCGGATTGGCAAGGTTTTACGAGGTCCTGTTAACCGCGGGTATTTACACTAAGTCTAATGAAATGTTTAACAAGCACTTTGCTCTGCGCAAATCCCAATGACCCATAATATTAGCATAAAATCACTTGGCACACTGGAAAAGGGGGAAGAACCTAACCTGCACCGTTGCCAACCGAACCCCCCTCCCCCCAAGTCCCTCCATAAATAAGTAGTTTTGGGTGTGTTCGGGTGTGTGTAACTACTTGCTAGTCAGCCTGCGTGGCTTGACACGCTCTACGGAAAATGCGGGCCTCAGCTCGGGAAATTTTCATTTAAATTGCACACTTTAAAAGTTTGGCCAGGGGAGAGGGGAAAGAAGGGGGGCAGGAGGAGAAGGGCTTAACAAAGCACCGACATGGCCTACGGCAGGCTGTATATATATATATATGTATATATATTTTGCCATTACGCTGCATATAAATTTTTATGTTGGTCCATACTTTATTTGTTTCTGGCCTCCGTTTGGTTTTCTGCCTTCTCCACATTTTCCCACACCCCCTTACTACCAAAAATAAATTACATTAAAATTCTAAGCCATCAGCCAGCTAGCTTTGGAAATTTATTTTTCCACATTATTCGCCGCTTGCCGCAAAACTCTATTTTCTTCGAGGGGTTAAGAGTTGGGATCCGGGCTTAGCCTCGGCAAAGTTGTAAAGTATCATTCGAGTCAATTAGTTCATTTGCAGAATTTAATTTCGGTCCAAGAGAATTTTGATGAGTTTCATTAAGTTTTGAAATAAATTTGAGCCGAAAAGTGTTTTATTGTTACTATGACCACTGTGCTAAAGCTATTATTTTGAGCTTAATTTATTTATGTGATTTCGTTAAACTTTTTTTGTGAATAAAAGCTAAGAGTGGAAAATTGTTTTACGATTCTAAACTTCATTGCTAACCAAAAACATTTTTAGGATAATAAATTTCTAGGAATTATTTGAGCTTATATTTTTTTTTAAAACCTTCTTAAGCCCATTTTGTGAAAATTAGGTCGATAGATAAATACCATGTTATAAATATATTTTTTCTGATTGCAAATGCTTTCATAAGTTGCTCTAAATGAAATCCTTTTTTTTTATTAAATAATATTTTTCTAATATTAATATAAATATATTTTTAAGTTAAATAAAACAAATTGTATCAAAAAATAAATAATACAGTGACTACCTAGATAATCTTCAAGCACAACAGGTCTTAAGCGCTTTTATTTATTTATTATTTCAAATAAGCTTTTAAAATACATTTATAATGTTTATTTATCCTGCAAAAATCCACTGTTTGTATTTTCTTTTCTTCATCTTATTCAGGGCAGCCCACATAAAATCCTTGGCCCAGCTTGCACAGGTATGTCCTTTTCCCCACATTCTTACATACGTGCGACTGTGTACATATACACACGCAAACAAACACATACACAACGGAATATATTAATAATTTTGAAAGGAAATTAATAACCACTTACTCACCTTATTTAATTAATGTCACAATTCTTAAGAAAATCTTTGTTAAACCATGGATTATATTGTTTTAGTTCTTGGTTAGGATGAATTGAAAAAATGTAAACACACTTTTGTATGGTACACACAAACACGCGAAAAGGAACACAGACACAGAAAAAGGTGTTTATTTTGTGTTTATTTGGGTTTCTTAAACGATTTCAACACAATCACAACCATTGTTCACTATTTAGATGGTTAAATGTTTACTTTCACCAGAGTTTTTAATGTTTTTAAAGGCTAAAAAACACAAAAATAGGCGAAACAATTTACAGACGCTCGAAATTTGCTGACAAACGGAGCAGACAATCTCTTGCTCTCTCTCTCACTGTTTCTCTTCCATTTCGTTTCGTCCTGCGGGAGAGAGGCAGCTGTTCGAGTCCTTTAAGTAAAGGACCTTTTGGGGGGTGAGAGGGTTTTCGCAACTGTCAAAGTGACAGCGTAGGATTCGCAGAGCGCAGGCGCTTGTTTCGTTCCTTTGCCATTTTGTTTCAAGGAGCATATCCTGGGATTTTAGCAGGGGTTGCTATTCGCACACCCTTCCTCTCCAAAAAGAGAGACATATATGGGCAGAGAGAGAGAGAGAGAGAAAGCAGCCGACAATTACCTGGAGAATTGGCATTAGCCCATTTTCGTTGCGTTATAAATTGCGTTTGTCACTTTGGAGCATTCTCCAACTTCAGGGCCCAAACACACACGCATTTTCGAGGGTGTGATTTTACATTTCCAACCTAAGCACCCACCCAATAAGAACCCCCCTCCCACACACACATGCAATTACATTTAACTTTCCTTGAGCAGTCTGCTCGCTCGGAATTAATTTTCGATTTTATTGTCAGTTAGTCAAACCCACTTGCTTAGCTGTCGCTGCGCCTGACTCTGATTAATTTGAAACTGCATGAATATGCAATTTCGGGCTATAAATTGAAATCTCGAGTTCTTCGCCGACCCCCCTTTTTTATAGCCTTTTTTGGAATTTTCACTTTTAATGGCTCTCAGTTGGCTCCTTGGGAGTTTTCAACACACAAACACATACACTTTTGTATAAGTTATAGAACAGACTGGAGGCCAATGTAAACACCTGCACATATATAAAAATATCAAAATATTCAGACAAGAAAGACAGCCAACGAAATCGAAGGATGTGGGAAAAGCTGGTAAACTGCATGAAGGGTAATGGCGGGGCCCAAAAGAAAAGCTGTCAGGTAATTCAACTGGCCGATTTGGTGAAACAGGTGCCACCGAACCAGATGAAGATGTTCCAAATGTTTTCCAAGAAGCACGAGGAGTATAAGGAGTAAGATATGGGTCATTAAAATGGGAAATGGGGCTTATAGGTGCAAAAATCTTTCTGGGGTACATTTTGTTTCTAAGAAAATATGCCTTTTGTGAGTAGTTTTTCATAAAATTGTACCACCAAAGTGTATTTTTCCCATCTAAAACTGTAAGGGATTCAATGCTAAGTCACTATGCAAGAATTTATTGATGCTCATACATAAAGATTAACAAAATCTTCATATAAAAGGGAATCATCCTTATCCTTAATATATATAAATTCTTCAAAGCTGCTCTTGATGGCCTTACTTTTATAATTTCGCTCTTGTTTATTTTTTACTGTCCAAGACGACTAAGAATTGGGCATTTTATTTTACTAATAATTCTTTTATTTAATCATTATTATAAGTAAAACATATTCTTTATAGTCGCGTTCGCAAGTATCCCGAATCGATGCCCACAATCGACTGGGATTACTATCGGCAGAATGTTCGTGAAGAGTTTGTGGATTGGGTGAAGGGTTACGAGACGAAGTATGATAAGATGCACTCCCTGTTTGAGAATCGACACGCAATGGTGGACCACAAGCGCTATTTCGACCAAGTGGATGCCGAGGCGGAGGAGGTTAAGAAGGAAATCAGTGCCTACAAGGCGGCATCCAATGAGAGGATCAAGAAGCTCAGCGAACAGATGGAATTTGCGAAGGGAATGCACCCATACAATAATATGACTATGGAGGAATTTTGCTTTGCCAGGCCACATTTGGCACCGGATTTCATAAACAAACCCACTTTCTGGCCGCACACTCCCGAAGAGCAAACGCCAGGACCTTCGGATCCGGCGGCAGCAGCAGCTTTACATGAAGACCACGAGCCTGAGCCGCCCAAGAAGCCAACTCCATCTCTGGATAAGCCTCCAGAAAAGGGTTCTGGAGATGGAAAAACCGCAACTGCAGTGGCTACAAAGAAACCAGCCGAACCCGTCGTAGACACAACTCAGTTGGCTGAAAAGGCCAGTGGGTTGGCCAAAGATTTGGTGGCCAAGGCAATCGTTCTTTTCAACACTCTCAAGGAGAAATTGTCGGGCTTGGCCAAGAATGTCCAGAAGAAAGCCGAGGCCGCCAAGGCAGCCCGTGCCGAAGCTGCCGGCAAGTCCAAAACCGAAACCGAAACTTCCACATCCACAGCCACACCCACAAAGTCACTAGATAGCATTAGGGAGCGCGAATCCGGATCAAATATCTGCAACCAGACCATTATTCGCAGTGAAGAAGGAGAAGCCAATCCGGAAGTGAAGGCCAGACATGCTAATCTATCCATCGAGGCAGAACCTTGCGATGCCCAGGAGGAGAGAGCCAGGGAGATTGCCAGGACACTGGAGCGCAAACGTCAGTTGCAAGAGGCGGAGGAGTGGGGTGGCAGGAAAAAGGATCCCTGTAAGCCCAAACCGGATCCCTGCAAAGAGGAAGAAGACGTCTACGAGCCCGATCCTTGCAAGCAAAAAGAGGAAGAGGACGTCTGCGAGCCCGATCCTTGCAAGCTTGGAGAAGTCTGCGAACCCGATCCTTGCAAGCCAGATCCTTGCAAAACAGATCTTTGCAAACCAGATCCTTGCAAGCCAGATCCTTGCAAGCCAGATCCTTGTAAGCCAAAATACGAAGACGTTTGCAAGCCCGATCCTTGCAAGCCAAAAGATGAAGAAACCATCTGCGAGGATGAGGAAGATCCCTGCAAGAAAAAACCGAAAGACGAAAACGACTGGGGATCCGATATGGAATCGGAAAGTGGTTCAGAAAGCTCCAAGGAGCAGGAACAGATCTTTATAAACATAGCCGAATGCAGCAAGGAACTAGCCAGGAAGGAAGAAAAGAAATCTGGTGAACCAGGAAAACCCAAGGAAAAGGCTTCCCTAACAGAGACAGTAGAGGGCACTGGTCAAAAACCCATAATCGGCTTGCATCATTCCGAATCAAAAGATGCCAAGAAAGATCAGAAGGGCAAAATCGAAGGAGCCAGTGAAGTGGGTCCTGTGTACACAGATCCCAAGCAAATTGTAGAATTGCTCGAGAAGGACAAGGAAGCCAAAGAACTCAAGGAAAGAGAGGAATCGGCTAAAATCCAAGAGGCCAAAAAGCCCGCAGATGGTAAGCCAGTTACTATATATCCTAAGCTGGAGATATCAGCCAAACCGAAACCCGAACACACAGACGACATCAAGGAGTCACCTAAGGATATGGCCAAGCAGGTGTTTAATATGGCCACAGGAGCTGCTTCTCTTTTGACCGAGGCAGCCAACACACTGGAGGACTTGAAGAAAAAGAAGGAGGAGCGACTGGAGGCCCTGGAACAGGCCTACACATCCGCTCAAAGGCAGGCCCAAGGAGCACTTGCCGAAGCCTCCAAGGCCGTGGAAGCTGCCAACAAGTTGGCCCAGAGAGCTGCCGAACAAACAGGCGAAATAAGCAGCCGCGATCAGGAGGCTTTGGACATGGCCGAAAAGCATGCTATCTTGGCCAAAATGCTGGCCAGTCGTGCGGTGGCCTTGAAGGACGAGATCGCCCGTGTCCTTAACGACCTGAAAAAGAAACAATAAGCCCCAGAACACACACACTTTTTAAACGATTTTGTACCTCATTTTGTTAGTTGTTCTTTTTCGTATTAAATTTTCTGTTGCATTTTTCACGTTCAAAAGTTTCGCTTTCATTTGATTTCGAAACGTTTCGTTTGTTGTTTCTATGCAAATTTTCACAGCCAGCTTTGCTGACCAAAAGTTGGCACTTGGCAATAAATTTTTTCTTTTCCACCAGCTTTGCTTTGCCGTTGCCGCTGAAAAGTTTTCTATTTGGAATTAGCCGGCAACATGTTTGCGTGTGTGTGAGTGTGAGGCGCTCGTAGATTGCATAATTATGCTAATTTTGTTGTTTTTCCACCCGCTACTTGGTAAGTGTAAAAGGGTATGATGTGTGGAAATGGGAAAAGCATTTGATGGAATTATTAAACATGTTTATAAATTTGGTTACGATTTTATATGCAGTGAAGTGGTTCTATCAAGGAGTATTCTAAATTTTTGACTACTTATATTTTCACTTTATTGTTATTTATTATTTAATGCCCTTAAAATATTTAAAGTAAGAAATTGATAACTAAATGGTGACTAAATGCATTTAAATTTACCATTCTGATTTTTTGTATTGCTTCTGTAGGCTACTCTATCGTATAAAATAGGGTATAAACCAGTCAAGATAGTCCACTTTAAAGTTTCTCCTTTTTGTTTGGCATTCAAAGCAGCCTTTCGAAAAGTGTTGCCTACTTTTTGGCGCACCATTTTCGCAATCAAACACATTTGCATAATTAGCTAGTCCTGCGTGTGCGTGTGCTCCTGGGTGAGCGTGTTTAATTCCAGTTTGATAGTTTGTTATAAGCTTTAAGCTGAAACATTCCTTTTGTTCGCACATAACAATGATTCGGTCTGCTCTTTGGCGGACAATGTAAACATTGCCGTTGAAATCCGGCTTTAATTTATGTGTATTCATCGGTGTACACTTGTGTGTATACCTATATAAATTTATTTCTATATATATATTTGTTAACTTAAGCGGCGTTAAACAAGCCATATAAATTCAATTTGAAAGCGCTTTGTCTGCCGCTCTTTGTGAGCTCTCATTGTATCCACCTTATCGCTTAATCGATTACGTAGGTGACAAAAACCATTTCGCAGGGCGAAAGCGGGGGTGAAGGCGGGATATTCCGGGTCTAATGTACCCTTTGGGACACCTTTTCTGGCCCCTTGCGGAATTTGCATATTTATTTGGATTTTCAAACTGATTTTAAGCCCCTTGGTAAGGTTAGTCGATTAGGCTGAAAAGGATTATTCATGAGCTACAAAGTGCCGGCCGTGGCATTGCTTAAAGCCAACAGCAAAGCCAAGCCAACAGCCAAGTTCAATGGAATTGGCCATTTGGCAGGGTTCTCTGGACATCTTCCCTTATTTCTTCCCCATCCAGATAAACTTTTACTGACTAGTTTCATGTGCTCGTTGACAATTTCCCGCTGTTTCTTGTTGCGGAAATATAAAATATTGCGATTATGTTTATTGTTTTCTGTCTCTGGCAATTTCCAATCCAAATAGATTCTTTTGGCAAGCGTGATCGCATGCAAGTTCAACTGGCACTGACCCAAACATAATTAGAAATCCCTCCGCGCCCAGTCGCGATTTTTCCACGAAAAAGCTGGGCAATAACTTTTCCTTACGGGCATTACGAGTGTTTTTATTGCCCCCCCTTTTTTTGGTATGTGCAGCTGATTAACGGTTGGCTTTTATGGTTAGCTCAGTTTTTAATAGCCCGGCCAGGAATGCGCACAAAGGGGCCTAATTAGCGGCATTTAACTAAGCCTCATGTTTTGGCGACGTGATCCTGATTATTACAGCAACAACAGCCAGGGCGGTCCTCCATAAAGGACCCGAACTCCACCTGAGTGCCCACGAGTCGGTACATTGAATATGTAAATTTTGTGCTAGCTGGCGCACAGCGGGAAAGCTTTTGCTGGCGAGCTTGATTAGTGAATGCCACCGACTCCGGGTCTTATTCTCCGGCATCCCGTATCCCGTAACCCGTATCCCTATCCGTATCCGTGTCCTGGTCGTGGCGCGTGTCCCTCCACAAACACCGGCAAACGCACCCGCTCTCGTTCCCCCACTTAACGACGTAGTTAGCGTTAGTTAACGTATGTACGTGATATCGTTAAACTTGGTCTAACGTTACCAGACCGCCATCGCATAATAAGTGTCTTATTAGTTATGCCGGTGTACACTGTACACTAAGGAAAACGGTGTTACTCCCAAAAACTAGATCAAAGTCTGTAAAAAATAACATTGGGATACATAGTTTTCTATGATTCTAAAAATCTTTAATTTTTCAATACTTTTACTCACTATTGAACGAAGTTAAGAACCTAGAAGCATTAAGTGCAGATTATAATTATAATAATAGCCATAACCAACTCAAAAGAGGAAGGTATAAAACTAAAAAATATTATTTCAAATCATTGCAATATTGTGTTACTTGTTGTACCCCTTATTCGAAACCTTTCTTAAATCTATTTAAAATAAATCCAAAATTAAATGTATGTGCTTTTCTTCTAGTAGAATTTTAAATCCAAGAAAAGTCTTTTCTTAAATGTCTTCTTCCTCCCTCTTCGTCTCTTTTTTCCCAGTGTAGCTGCGGGATCCTGGACAGGCAACCCGTAGCCAAAGGCAAGCCCAGTTTTGGGACACGCACCACTAAACTAGGAGACACTTTCCATGGCCAGGGGCAAGTCGAAACTTGGTCTCCCGACTGGCGTCTCATCAATGGCCAAATTCTGTTTGCTTGGCTCAACTGTTGCCCTGAATTTCAATTTGTTGTTTGCTTACCGCGTGTGTGCACTGATATGTTTATGTGGCTGTGCCAGAGGAATATTCCTCATGCTCGCAATTCGCTTCAATTAGCCAATTGTTGGCTGTCCTCCTTGTACGTCTTGTGTACGCCTGCTGCCAAATTGGTGGGCATCGATGGGTTTTAATTAAATCAAGGCAAATACTGAGGCCAGTCAGCAGTTGTAAAGTTTTCCTCGCTCGGAATTCTTACGCAAGCAGGTCCTAAAATAACAAACAGCCTGAAAATCTATTTCCAAGATAAAATTAACGCTCTTCTCGGCGGAGTTTGGGGGAAATGAAAATTAAATTCCAAACAGCCGGTGGCCCTCTTTCGGCAGGTGGGCTCTACATATTTCCCCCGTCCAAAAGTGGTGGTGGTTTCGGTGGGTGGTGGTGCCGTTGCTGTCCAGGTAATCGCCAGCGTGTAGTATTTGCTTTTGGCGCTGCTTGTTTATTTTTTAATTTCCTTCCAATTAAGCAACAAACAAGATACCGAAAACGAAACTGAGACTCGGTCCCGAGCACAGTCGCTGCGATAAAAACGCGCACGAATCAGCGACGAAAAAGAAAAACGAGAGGAAGACACCAGAGGTAAAATTAAATCAATTCCAAAGACCATGCTGGAAAATTCATTAAAAAAGCTATTCTATTTGTGGTGGTTTTTTTTTGGTATTTTATGTAATTTTGGAAGGCCATTTTATCAGACAAGAAACAGAGTGATGGCAATTTTATTCTACATTTACACTGGACATTTGATATACAAATATATAGATATATATAATAGATTACATCCAATAAATAAATAAATAGTTTAAATTAAGAAACTTCACTATTTTGTATAATTTGATACATCTCTTTACCTCTGAAATTTGTTCTACCTCAAGATAAATAAGTTTACCCTAGCATATCTTTAAAAAATTTGTAAAAATAAGTGATGTTGGCATTGAAAACTTTGAAGCGAATATATTAGCTCGGCATGATGTGCGGAATATGTAGGAAAATACCTTCGTCACGCACACATATTCGACTCTGAAAAGGACTGAAAGTTGTCCCTGTGCAGGTCATTACCTATGCAAAACATGTGCGCATTAATAAGGAATGTGCGCTGGGCCTCACATCTCTTTTTTTCAGCACGTACACATCCAGCGTTTTCTTGGAGCAATTAGGCCATAGTACAGAAATACCCGAATATGCTGTCTTTTCTGGCACTAATTAGGCATATGTAAACGAGCCTTGTTGGTCAGCACTTAGACCTAGTTAATGGAGGACTAAAGCAACTGTTCCTTAGTTATTTTTAAAGTTCTGATATTAAGACAAAGATTACTTCACGAATATTGACAATTTATTTCAGTTTACAACCATACTGATCACAGAATAAGTCTCTCTTAAACAGAGGCTTAACACCATACCGACTACGAATTAACCCACAAATTGGGACGTCATATGGATAATAAATAACAAGTGACGCAGCACACATTAAGGACACTGAATTTACAGACAAGTATATCGGGATCGCTCCGGATCCGTCGTCAAGAACTCGGAAGGACGAAGATGCATCACTTGCAGGCCATTTGGTAGAGGAACTGGATGATGGACCGGGTCGGACGTCCCGTCATGCTGTCCTTGAGCAAATACGGAGGCACTCCGTGCTTGGCCAGCATTCCAGTGCCGTGGGTGTCCAGGTGGACCCAATCCGAGCAGGGCACCAGTTCGAACAGGATGGCAGCTGCCAGGCAGGATGTAGCATGTCCAGTGCCCCTGTTGCAGATGTCGTAGGAGGAGAGGGGGGCGACTAGACTGCGGAAGTACTTCCACAGGGGCATGCGCCACAACCGATCGCCAGTGAGAGCTCCGGCCTTCTGGAAGTTCTTCCACAGGAAGGAGTTATTGGTCCACAGACCAGTTGCCGAGGCTCCCAGTCCCTTGCGAATTCCACTGGCCATCGAACCCACTTCCACCACCAACTTGGGCTTGAATGTCGACTGGGCGTAGAGCAGGGGATCGGCCAGCAGTACAGTGCCGGCCAGGGAAATGTCCTTGATGCGCATGGTCTTGCCGTTGAGCAGGGTGACCACATCTCCCGGTTTGGTGGCCATTCCCGATGGCATATTCTCACACAAAGGCAGCACCGCCGACACATTGATGGGCAGCGAAAGGGCAGCTGCGGCTCGAATGGCAGCCACACAAACAGCGGCTCCGGAAACTGCTCCCCGGTACTCGTCCATTCCCTTCTTTGGGTGCAGGCACAGCCCACCGCTGTTGAAGGTCAACCCCTTGCCGAGCATCAGGATGGGCCGCTCCTCCGGCGAAGTGCCGCAATAGCTGACCTCCAGGATAATGGGCGGTTCGCAAGAACCCTTCGCCACCATGAGAAAGGAGTTGAGATTCTGCGTCTCGATCCAGTCCATGGAGCGCACTTCAACGGAGACGCCACACGGGCATAGGGCATCCACGGTGGCCTGGGCAAAGATCGAGGGGGTCATCTGGTTGGCGGGCGTGTCGGCCAGACGACGGGCCAAATTCTGGGACTCGGCCTTGAACAAGCCCCTAGTCCAAGCATCCTGATCCGTGGAGCCGTAGAGCTCTAGTTTCGGTATGGCCACGCGGTTGTTCTTGCGCTTATTCACATTGTATCGCCACACAGCCATGGCGGCTCCTTCGGCGGCCTGCTCCGGATACTCCATGCCGTCCACGTGGCAAGTGGTGCATCCCTGCATTTGGAGGGCACGGGCTCCTACGGCGGCACACACCCGCACGTTCTCCATTCCTTCGTCAAGGACCTCCTCGGCATTGTAGCCAGCACCCTCTTTGCCCAGACCCACAACGGCCACGGCCCAGAACTCCTTGTCTATATTCTGATACAGTCGACCCACTCCGAGCTCCCCGTTGAGTCCAGACTCCTTGATTAACTCGGTGATTTTGCCGCTCACACGATCATCGAACTTTTCGCCACCTGGCGATAGCTTTAGTCCCTTATCACCTTCCTTGGCATACAGACCCACCACCACGCCCTGCAAGTTGCAGGTGTTGCAGCCACCATCTTCGCTTTTGCATCTCACCTGGATTTTTAAAATATGGGAGGGAAAATATATAAAAATGTACACCTATTAATTGAAAAGCCTAAAAAAGGATTTTATGAAACGATTTTTATCCAATGCACAAAAGAAAATTACAAGAATGTTTTATACCTATCCTTAATACTTTCAGCTACTGTAAAAATTACCTGTTGGAAGCTTGGTCCCTTGGCGAAAATGAGTGCCTTTTGGCACCTGAATAATCCCAGCGTGGTCCGGCGCAGACAGGAGGCAACCTGAGTTCGAGTCATTTTTCTGTTGCAATTTGGATAAACTTCGCTGAAGATTTGCACGAATTCACAGAGAGTTGCAGACTATACTATACAACAATTTAGTATCACGACCGAGATAACCAGATCAATTGCTTAACACAGGAATAATGAAAAGTGTAATAAAAAAAAACTGTGTGTTTTTAATAAAAAAAGGAACGCAGTGTTTAGCTCTGTTGAGCTGGAATCGAGAAACTGAACTGAACGGACCAACTCACCAGATGACATATTGTCCATATCGACCGACAGTTTACTAGGATCACAAAAATATTTTTGCTGGCATAACATATCTATGGCACTTAACCAAACGTGATAATACTATTTGGTTGCCATCAAAGGAATTTATTTACCCATAATACCCGCGAACAACCTGGCCGCACTTGAAACTTTATGTGATGATTAAATTTGCAATTATCTGCAACAACACAGTGGCAACAACAACAAGTGCATTGCTGCATGCGACATAATGAAAAAGCGAATTGCAGCGGGGGATAAATATATAAAAATTGCAACCAAGCCGCAGACGAAACACGTAAAAGCAATAAAGCAATAAATTGCCCAATTTGAAGCACTATTGTAGCCAATAATTTGCACAGCCACTTGGCCGGTTTCTGGTGCAGAAATCCTTCTGCCAACCAGCCCAACCCCATCTTGCAGCCGAAAAACCAACCAATCGCCCACCACCCACTACCTCCCCCAACCACCCACCACATATAATTTTCAACAAAAATATTCACATTTGTCAATGTCGCGTGATTGATGTGGTAGAACGCATTTCCGCCGAGCCGAGCGGGCCAACCGACGTGCTGATGGGGCCAAATAAAAAACAGTCAGGCCAGTCGCAGAAATACATTGTTAAAAAATATGAATAAATCTGTTTTTAAATTTTTAATAATGCCATAAGTATATATCACTAATATAATCGGATATCTAATAACTGATGTCAATATAAAAATATTGATATTTTAGCATATGGGCTTTGCGGAGAAAAATGATTGGGAATTATAAAGAATTTTAGTTAAAAGCCCAATTCAGGTTTGACCCAGATTTGTATTTTCAGATGAGAACTATCACTATTAGACACCATAACCAATTTTTGCTCAAAAATGCAATACATTTTAGATTTAATTTGTAAAATTCGGTAATTAACCATAATATTTTTTTTCAGTGCTTCAACACACAGTCAAGTAGGCAGTGAAATACACTTTTAAAATAATATAAATAATACTTACGGTTTTAAAATATTTAAACTATCGCTTGTGATTATCAGATATTAAATGGCGCCAGTATAAAAATATTAAAATTGTAGTATTTGTGCTTGAAAAAAAAGGTTGGGAATTATACAACATTTGCGGTAAAAGGCAAATTCAGGTAGCCAGACTCGTATTTTCAGTTGAAAACCATACAAATTTTTAAATACATTTTAACAATTTTTATTTTTAAAAGTCGTTAATTAACCAACATATTTTTGCTCAGTGCCTGAACACACAGGCAAGTAGGCGGTGCATAAAAACAAGCAAAAACATTCATTTTTTGTATACAAATGAGTGTGCACGAAGGATGTTGAGGCCAGGGACATGGACATTGCCATGGTAATATGTAGCCATGGCGGTGAATGTGAATGTGAATCTGGATCTGTGGATGTGGGTCTGGGCGTGTTGGCGACATTACGCGATTTCACGCATGATTTCAAATTAATGACAGCCGAGCACACAGTACACCTTTAAGCCAGTACAACAACATTGGGGATAGCGAAAATTTAAAATGTCCACCTCGCACAGGATGTTTAATTTCCTAAATGCATAAATCTCACTAATACGCACAACGAAACGCCAAATCTAAATCTAATGCGGTTAACGCTTTTTTGTGCGGGGTGCGTGGCAGCATCCGAAAATCATAAACAAACTTCAAAGAGGACAATGGCCAAAAAGGCAGGACGCAAAGCGTTTTGCAGCTTATTACGCACGGTAACCAGTAAACTGGATAACCTGCCCCAGCAACCGCAACAATTCAGAGGTCCTGGATCTGATGGCTCCGTGGGTGGTGCTTCTATATGTGTTACGGACGGAGGCCTAGTTGGTTTCCAAACACCCCCCACCCACAAAAACACACGTAACGCGTTCGTTTCCATTTCCGTTTTTTGTCCTCAGAAACACCAAATGTCCCACATAACACACCTAAACTTGGCCGGCTCTTTGGGGAAATGGCCGGGCGACGGAAGATCCTTTCACAATCGAACCCTCACCTTCTGCTCGGCTATTTGTTTGCTTTTGCCACAGAATATTGCCAATTGTTGCAGCATTGATGCAAATTTATTGCCTGCCGTCTGCCTTTTGTGCGCCTTTGCAGATTAAAAGAGATCCCAAAACTGATTTGGGGCTTAAGCATTAAATCAGGGTATGAAATGATTTCTAGTTCGTTATTTCATTACAATTAACCAGTTTTTTTTCGACTGAATTGTGCTTAAAGGGGTGTCAAAGTGCGATGGTACATTCACAATGATTCATTTTTTATTTTAATTTGCTAAATTCTTTAAATTGTTTATTGTAAAATTTTGAAAAAAAAACATTGATTAAATTATTATGCTGAGATGTCTCAGATGCTTATTCGCTCTACATTCACAATGATTCATTTTTTATTTTAATTTGCTAAATTCTTTAAATTGTTTATTGTAAAATTTTGAAAAAAAAACATTGATTAAATTATTATGCTGAGATGTCTCAGATGCTTATTAATTCGGTCATTACTTATTAAGATTCAATTTTTAATATAGGCTGTTAAAATATAAGTATTCTCTCTATATATAATACAATCTTTTTTTTGTATTATTGTTTTTGTTTTTATTTGTATTTATAATCAAGAAATTATTATGCGGTGTTGTTCTGAAAGCTTATTTAATCACTGATTATATATTTATTTTAATGAGTCACAGACTGGGATTTTACCTACAAGGAATATAAATACTAAACAATTTTAAGAATTAACAGAATTTGACAAGATATTTTTACAACGCAAAGTCATTGGGGGTATTCATTTCAAACATTTATTTGGGTACCGTTGGGTGTCATATATTTCTTGTCGTATGATATGGTGTTCGCAATCCAATCCGTGAAACTAACGACGTTTGTAAAAGCGGTGACTCCACTGCAAGGATTCGATCCTTTGCTGACAATCCCGACCAGAGCATAGACATCCTTGCGTTTATATTTCACCGTCAATCCGAGTGGGCTTCCAGAATCCCCAGTGCAGGCGTAGTGATGGAAATCTCCGGCACAGATGTGGGTATGATCGACGTTAAAGCCGTGTTGATCGTGACAGATTTCACGAGGGACTTGGGTTAGCTTCACGGTTTGTAGAATAGGGCTTGATGACCTGGTTTTTGTCGCTCCCCAGCCGGTGAGCGTTAGTTCCCTGGCTGCATCCACATCCCAATACCATTGGAACATGTTTTCATGCATGATCACACATATGGGACGAATGTTCTCTGTAAAAAGAAAGATTTTTAGAACTTAACTAGGAGAGTTTTGAGTGAACTAATAGCCTACCTGTATATTGCACTGGTTGGTCCAGTTTCAGCAAAGCTATATCGAAAGCACGAATCGACCTATATCGCGGATGCGTATATATTTTAATAACCATATAATCCCTATAAGGGGGAACACATCCAAAGCCGTCCACGCAGTCCTGTTCGCTGGTCCAATCATATTCCCCTAATCGAGCCATTCTATGGTCATAAATCGTTAACAACAAACATTATTTGTTCTTTAACTCAACAAAATACATACAATTGTTTGGCAACAGGAAAAACACAATGTGCAGCGGTTACGACGAAGGCTGAAAGAATATTTAAATAAAGTTAGCTTGATTAAAATAATTATATATCTTAATATATTTATATTTATAAATATAAATAATGCTTATCACATTTTGTTTCTATTTAACTCTGTTTTTAAATCATTTTAGATCATATTAATTACAAATTGTTTAATAATCAATCTGAATTTTGTTGTTATGTTTTTAAAAATACCAATAATGTACAAACCACTATTTATAAGGGAACCGCCGCAGATAAATTTCCAATCCGCATGTAAAAATGCCATCCATGGGGTTGAATTTAATTTGGCATTTCTGCCACCTGATATTCGCTTTCCTATTGGACTCAATCCGCAATTTGGCTCCAGTAATGATGCCGAAGTTGGAAAAACCCGGTTTCCAAACATCAAATAGACAAGCAAGCATAGAATGTACTTCATGGTAAAGCTTTGAAATGAAACTGACCAGAATAATCGGTTTTTGCAAATTAATACGCTACATACTTATCAGCTTCTCTGACCCCATTTATAAGGTTATCGTTATCATTTTGCGAGAAGTCAATATTTTGAATTTTTATGACAATAATAGACAATAGAAAGAAACAAAAATATAAATAAAATACAAAATACTATTTATTTAATAGTATATATTAAGAATTGTTATTGTTTACAATGGTGTGATTAATCCAACTTGAGTAACTCAGAACATTCGTAAATACTGACACCCCAAAGAAGGGTTGTCGCAGATGGCTAACAATTCCGAACTGAACGAATACCCTGTACTGACCAATGTTCACCATTGCGCCCAAAGGACCTCCAGAGTCGCCCTTTCCCACATAATGGCTACCATCGCCTGCACAAATATGGGTACGATCGACATTATATCCGAATCGGGAGCGACATGTCCAACGGTCGACCTGAGGAACTTTCGCAAGCTGAAGCCTCTCGCTTTTCTCAGTGTAATCCTTTGCGCCCCAACCGGTTACCATAAAGTTTTGAATGGAGTCTACATATCCTTGCCATCGCCTGTCCAATATCACGCAAATCGGCTGGATGCTTTCTATGTAAAATATACATATTAATTATTGATTTGACTGATTGGGACTTAAACCAATTATTACTTGAGTATACAACATTCTGGTTAAGTTTTACCAGGGCTATATCATAATAGCGTGCTGTTTTAAAATACGGGTACGTGAACTTTTTCACCACCCAATATTCTGAGTGCTGTGGAGCACATTCATATTCATCGCAATCATATAATCGACTCGCATCGTTCTCTCCCAATCGAACATATCTTTAAAGACACATGATTATTATAAGATTTTCGATTTTGAAATATTACTTACATTGTGGCATCATTATGTTTAAAGCAATGGGCAGCTGTCAGGACAAACCCTAAAAAAGAGTTGAAATAAACTTATAATATTTAAATTAATTTCACATATCTAATTTTAATTTGTTTGCAATTTAGAAATTTTGTTTTGCTTTCTCGAAATTAACAATTTAAATATACGAGTACAAACAATGATTGACAAGCGAGCCACCGCAAAAAAATGTTCCTTTTGCATGAAAATATGCCATCCATGGCACAGCATTTAAGTCAGCATTTATGCCTCCAGTTATTCGATATGTATATTTCGATACGCCGCACTTATTATCCAGAAGGTAAGCTAATCCTATAGAATCACGCATTTTATTGATAAAACAAAGTAAAAAGACAATGTTTAGCGTATGCTTCATCTTGAAGCTTTTAAATGCAACTGAAAAAGGTTAATTTCTGAAAATAACATTCTGTAAAGAGAATAATTTTCTTATCAGGAAAATACTTACATATGTATAAGCGCTGATTGTAAGTCAATGGATTCGAAGAATAAGAATGATTTTTTGCTCTTAAAAACAAACGCTTTTCCTGTGAAATTTATTAATACACTTATAACTTTTTTATAAGTTCTACTAAATGTAATTCCCCATCTAAGTTTAAAATTACATTTTTAGTTTACGGTTTTTCTTCAACAAATTTGTTATTTAGTGTTTATTTAGTTTTTTTAAAACCTATAAATTAATAATTTTAATTTTTTTTACCTTTTTCCCCAGCTGTTTAAAAATTCTAACTTATTTTGTTAGATTTATTCATAATCTCATTTGGCTTTGCCTTTAATAAACTGTGTGCACAGACAAATGTTTCGTGGTTTGTTGAATGAAGTGCAGATTTCTTCGGTTGGAGGTGGTGGGTGTATAGGCATGGAATTCTCAGAAGGCTCGTAAATTGCCAAATGCATAAATCACGCAATTGAATTCTAATTTTTCGGCTTCTGCAGACAACAGAACAATGTAGCTCGGCTTGTCTGGGACTGGGAAAGGAAATGCATTTCGAGTCTGAATCAATCATTATTTTTAATGCACAAATGGGAGCAATTACAGTCAGTTTGGGCCAGACAAAAGAATGTCTCACTTGATTTATCGAGGTTTAGCAAATGTTTGTTAACCATGCATCTTGTTTATCATGTGCGAAGTGGCTGCTTTGAATACTGGGTACAAACAGTGGCCAGTTAAATTATTCCCAGTTCGCCTGAAAGTAAAAGTGTACAGTGAAAAAATTATTATTATTAAATTATTATTATTAGTTTACTAGATGAATAAATAAATTCTTTGAATATACATGTATGATCCATCTGAAATTTAGGGCTTTGAATTTCTTTCATTAATTTTTTTAATCAAGCTAACTGTATCTTTCTTTTTAATTTGAATAACGGCTTAGACTTATTTAAAAATAATTATTTAATAAATTAATTTTTGTTTAAGCATTAAAATTCTTTGTTTGCAAGATTAATTATTACGCACAGATTAATAAAAAATGGAATTGAAATAAGCAATCATAAATTCGGTTAAATATATTTGATTAAATCTTAAATATTTTCTGCAGTGTAATAGTTTGTACGGTCCAAATAGTTGATGAGGCTGTTGGTGACAGTCTTCAATTAACACCTGGCACACCCCCAATGTAAAAGACAAAGACAAATATTGTACCCACATCAGTATATAAGCATAATATGCCTTCAAAACTCTAATAGTCGCATAATGGCTTTCTCCGCCTCAGTTTCGCTTTTTCTTGTGATCTCAGCGATCACCTGTTTAAATTCGGTTTCTGGAGATTTGCGAGCCGATCTAAAAGATTTCGCGGCATTAGTTCCACGCCGTCGAATTGGTTTTATCGCCGCCAGATACTATATCTTCGATCCCAAGTTCCGACAGGCTGTTGAGTTCATCCGCAGCGATGAGTTTCTAACGACCTGGCAGCAAGTTCGAGCTGCTCCAGATTTTGTGAATATCATTAACTATTTGACCGAAAACGGTTCGGGCTATGATATCACTACTCTTGTGGACAGTTTGTTGAATCGTTTGCGTGCGTATCAGCTGTCGCGCACTGTACCCGTGGAGTTGATGTTAAGACGCGATTTGACGACTTTCCTTTGGGATATTGTTCAAAGTCTTCCCCGGACCAGAATCTACTCTTTGATTTCCCAGAAAAAGCGACAGAGTAGCGAATTTGCAAAACTCTACAAGGCTCTCAGGGATAAAGAGTTCAAGGAGCTGGTGCAGAGTGCCAGGGTAAGATCTGCAGAAACTCTTTTAAATTATTATCTTGTTTTAATAAATATTCCTAATTCTAGCGTTCCGGACAGCTGCAAGCACCTATAAAAAAATTAAAACAAAAAAGCATTAATGTCGATGAACTTCTCCAAATTCTGTTTGAGGTCATCAGTTGGGGTCCCCAAATATCTTAGCTGATAGTGAGCTAATACCCATCCTAAGAAATTGGATACCTATATTTATTTCATAAACATATGAAAACTCATCAAAACTTTAGTTGAAAGAACAACATTTTAGTTGTATTTAAAATTTATAATAAAACTGAAAAGAAAACTATTTGTTTTGCACAGAGTTATCTTATACATTAAAAGTCGATAAAATAGTTTGTTGAAAGCAATTTTTCGAAAATTTGGAAAGTGGTTACACTAAAACATGACGAATAATTGACCCAAAAATACAAACCAAGTTAGAAATAATGTTTAGAGAATTAAACCACAATCATTTAGAGCTATGTCACATTAAAATCCGATGTCTGTAAGAAAAGTTATGAGCTTAGAAGTTTAGATTTTCCGCAAAGCCGTTTTTCGGAAATTAAAATGACGGAAAATCGACCCCAAAATACAAAACAAACTGAAAACACAGATTTTTGGAGAATTGAATCACAATCATTTTGACGTATGCCACTTTGAAATCGGATGTCTGTAAGAAAAGTTATGGGCTTAGAAGTGCAGGTATTGGACCACATTTCTGCAAAGACGTTTTTCGAAAATTTGGAAAGGGGTAACATCATTAAAATGACGGAAAATCGACCCCATTATACAAAACAAACTCAAAACACAGATCTTTAGAGAATTCAACCACAAACATTTTGAGGTATGCCATTTTGAAATCGGATGTCTGTAAGAAAAGTTATGGGCTTAGAAGTGCAGGTTTTAGGTGTCTTTTCGACAAATCCATTTTTTGAATATTTCGAAAGAGGTAACATCATAAAAAATGACGAAAAATCGACCCAAAAATACAAACCAAGTCAAAAACACAGACATTTAGAGAATTAAAGCACAATCATTTAGAGATATGCCAGTTTAAAATACGATGTTTGTAAGAATATTTTTGAGCCTAGAAAAAGCCACAAATGCTCACAATAATTTATATAAACTAATGGAAAATTATATGTATATGATTCTCTCATTTCCATAATTGTAACTTATTTGATTAGAAAACTAAGATTCATTAATTATTGCTATTGTTCATTTTGAAGGATTTGCATTGCCCCTGCATCCCAAGAGTATTACATTAGAGGCTTGGTTGTCACCTTTTCACCTGATGTGCCGGCAGTACAATGTGGAAAATCAGCAAAAAAGGAAAATCCACATCGGCATAAGCTGGCGCACACGCACAATATGCCATCATTAGTGCAATACGAAACCAGGTCGTTTTGGGATGACAAAAACTGGGGGAAGAGAGCAATGCATCTTGCTGACGCAATTTCGCAGAATGCTTCATTGATTCGGATTTTGCGCCCAGCTATATATAGAGCGATATCGGGCGCCTAAAAGTCACTCCGACAAGTCAGTGCTAAATGTCAGCTGCATAAAGGACTTTATTCTGTCGAGCTCGGTGCATAATTTGTCGACATCGACATAGTTTTTATGGCTGGCAGTTGCAAGTTTATTTGCCACAAAATGCGGCCATATAAGCGTTGCCAAGTTTATTTTGAATGCTGTTTCAGTTGCTGCTGCTGGTGCTGCTGCTGTGATGTTGCAGCCATTGCCATTGCTGCTGAATATGCAACAAAAGTTGTTGCACTTGCAACGCCCACAACACACATGGCTAGTTGGAAAGCCAAGCCAAGCCAAGCCAAGCCGATCCAGCCCGGCCCACATCATTTTGCAGCAGTTTTCGGCTGACAGAGATGCAGAGGCGGCGAATGGGAACGAATGGGATGCCTCAGCTGGCAGTTTGGCCCCCTGCGGCTCCTTTTGCTACTGCCGCTCCCATTCGCCCTGCTGCCTCTGCTGTTGCCCCATTTTGCTTGACATTAATTTTATGCCATGTTGCTGGCGTGCCAGCGGGCCAAAACGCGCTTAAATTGTCGCATTTGTCTTGCCGTTTTAAGTTGCTGTTGCTCCTGCTGCATTGCATAAACTTTTGTGTAATCCTTTCAATTTGTTGCATACTTTTAGGCGGAAATTAAAATAACAAGCGCTACGTGGTGGCTGCTGCACTCGCAGAAAAAACGGTCTGTAGGTTACTAGAATTTTTATAATTTTATTTTTATTATATAGGCTTAATTCCTTGATAGATTTTTGTCAAGGCATGGCTAAAAAGAATTATCAAATATAAGTAAAGAAGAATATTTTAATCGCCTTAATCCATTGAAAATTTTAACTGTTTGTTTATGACCGAAAAATAAGACTAGCAGACTTTGTATTTTTTAAGAATTTTATAAATTAAATACTGCCCTAAAATTCCCAACTGGTTTTAGAGCTAAATACGAAAGACCTGAAAGCTCATTATTTCGCATATTAAATTAGGTTAGGTTAGAAAGTGTTTTATCCCCCAAAACATATTTTAAACTATTTATTCTGTACTGACCCATAATTTTTGGTGAGTGTACTTACTGGCTTAGTTACTGTTCTAACTTTTGTTGGGAAAGTTGTTCTACACGTGTTTTACCGTACCCTCTAGTTCATCAATTAGTAACCCAGACAACGTTGCTCCATTTCTGCTTCTTGGCTTTTTGGGAACCTCTGATTTGCCACCCTTCGTCGGTTTCCTTGAAGTGCATTCATACAGCTGGAATTTATGCTACGAATTTTGGTAATGAATTTTGCAAAATAGTTAAATTGAATTTTATGCCATGAAGGCACTTGTTATGCCAACTCCCATGTTGCTGCTGCTGCTGCCGCTGTTGTTGTCATTCGGCATCAAGTAAAAGTAAATAATTGCTGCTTAAAATGCTCGTCAGGAGTTTGGCCATGCACTCGTACTGCTACCTCATTCGTATTTTATTTTCATGCTTGGCCAACAGCCCGTTGGCCCTTTTTTCGGGTGGCCAGAATTTTGAGTGGCAGTGGCAGCAACAGCAGCAGCACCAGCAGGAGTTTCGTCCTGATGGGTCGATTTGTTTTTTGCTCCTTGGGCGGCAGACTCGTTACCGCCTTAACTGCAATATCAGTTACAGGAGTGACTGCTGCCGCTCTCTATTTCAAAGCATCCTTTTGGCCACCCCTGATACCCCTGATGCCCCTGATACCACCGATACCACGATTCCATCCTGTTCACTGGCTGCCGGTTATATTTCGACCAGATTGTCTGTATTTGCGGTTTGTGCGTACGTGACATGGATGTTCGTTCGACTGGCTTGCCTGCTTGCTTAACAATTAGTTTTAAAATGCTCCAGGACATATCCAGTTCTTGTACTCTCCAGCTCGTCCTCTCGAACTCATTAGAGCTGGGGTGTTTTTCCAGTAAAACCCACTGCGTAATCCTTCGAGCAAATAAAGCTACCATTTCCACTTCCACCTCCCGAAAACCCAGTGAAAAAACATGCTGCCAGATCGAGAAAAAAGGCGAATAAAAATCAACAACAACAATCAATGTTGTCCCGTAATCAATTAACGATTTAACGTTCGTCTAGGGCTGGTCAACTGGTCACTGTGCGCCGTCAGCATTTGGCGCCGCATCACCACCCCCTTTCCACCCACACCCCCCCATTTATCCTATCACCCCCACCCGCCTGCAATGGGTTTTTGTTTGTGTATGCGTTTGGGGTCGAAGGTCGGGGGTCATGTTGACAAGGGCTGCATGGACACGTCATCGTGGCTGCGTTTTGGGGAAGGCGCGAATGTCTTTGTGTGTGCAACTGCACTGAAAAAAAACAATAAGAAATATGAATGGAATCAATCGGAATTTCTTATCAGTTCTAAAAAGATTTTGGGATCCATCAAATGCTTTCAATGCTACTCGTTGTAAGTTGTTGTAAATTTAAGTCTCTTCATTGTTACTATTTTTTATGTTTTTATATTCTTCATACGTTTAGACTCTCGTTGCATTTTTTGCAACAATATAAGGATTTGTTGGTATTCTTTATAAAAAATCTTAAAAATAACAAATGCATTTTAAATTGGATCTAAAAATAATTTTTCTCAGTCCATCGCATGTGCCAGCACCGACAGGGCTGTCATCTCGCTGAAAGATCCTCTTAGCTCTTCCATTTTCGACAACGGGCGAAGTGTGCGAAACCCCCAGCGAAATTCGATAATCTGCAAATGGCAATCTCATTCTTGATTGCCTGCGAGCCACTTCCATTTGAAACAATTATTTGGGGGTGATGGCAACCCTGCGCCGCCTGCAAAAGTATTTGTTGGGGGCTAATGTGATTACTCCTGTCATTATTTCGTCGCTACATCCGTCTCTTCAATGGATCCGCACCCCCGTGAAACCCCAGCCCGCTGCCATTAAATTGACCACTGACTGGTTGTCCCCCCTCCCCCCATATATCTATATACATATACATACAAACACATACGTACGTGTGCGTGTCTGTGTGCATTTAACTGCACGTTTTCAAACTTTGACCCCGCGCTCCATTCCGGAACTTCCATCCGTGTGCTGGGGTTACGGGTTTGCGGGGTCGGGGTTTGATTGGTTATTGACTTTTAACAGAAAAATTGATGTAATGCAATTAGTTTTACAGCTAAACCGTTTGATGATTGTACAACAAAAACAAAAACAGCAGCGTTGTGCTAAACGAGCACTTTACAGCCAACAAGAGCTGTTTAATGGTACTGGTTGATGGAGGGTTAAGTTGTCTGGGTTGTGTGTGGACATCGCACATATGAGAGACATTCCGCACTTTGCTCTGCTCGTCCAGGATGAATCGCGAAGGTCCTGTAGTCCTGGCTATGGGTATTTATTTTCGACTTCTTACCTTTTAATAACTTTAAGATTTTATGAAGGTATCGCATTTATTATAGAACTTTCCTTTACCCTTTTCCTTGAATTATTTATGAAGCTTACAAAAAGTAATATTTACATCAGACATGAAACAAGATTTTATCTACTTTTATTTATATCATATATCAGACATAGGAAAGATTGATCTAGACACCATGATGGCTTTAACCCTTTCAAAATACTTTAAGCTTTATTAAATTATTACCTTGTTCACTTTAAATAATTAAATTTTAATTAATATTTCTTAGAACAGCCGTTGATTACGTATTAATTTAAGCTAATTAAAACACAATCGATCACCATTCGAGGGAATAATT